GTCCAAAAAGAGAACATCCAACAAGCCTGGCTGAGCATCAGTTTTGCAAACTCATACACTCCATGCTTAGAAATGTCAAACTCTTATCCAATAGAAGGAATATGCAATAAAACATTAACCTAAATAAAATACTAAATACTAACACACATGAGGGAAAGAGACAGTAACACATGTCTCACTAATGTTTGAGTACTTTTACTTGCCTCACTTATGTTTTCAATTAATTTGTTTCTGTTAGTAATTCTGGTTGTTATTGTTGATATCATCATTTTTTAGATGGATACGAATGAATAAATGATAATTTCAACTTAGAAATTCCAAAACAAGTCATTGTATTCAGAAAATGTCCCAAGACTACTTTTGAGTACTGTATAGTGGTGTAACAGTGCATCAAGACATTGTGATTTGGCAATGCAAAACTGTGACAATACATCATGGAGAACTGGACAATCTATTAATTATGCCATATGATGCAATTGCATTGTTTGAACACCAAAGTTAGCAAATTATTAGCATCAATCAACACTCCTGCTATCCCAGCTCTATCAAAATCCTGAAACAGATAATAATGATAATAATAATAACAATAATAATAAAACCATGGTGTTACTTGCTATTGCCCATTCCTATTGACCAGTAAGGAGCTTCTAGGTCAGTATAAAAAAATCACTTGACAGATCACTTGATGTTACAGGATTGAAGGGAAATAAGCAGCCAACTGATACTAATATGAAGAAACTATGGGATGTATCTCACTAAGCTAGCTGCAATTAGCTTAGTGAAACTTTGAAACTTTGAATTAGCTTAGTGAAAGATAAGTAAAAGTCAGTTTGTTGGACCTTGTGTGTTCTCTGTATAATAGAGTGCTCTCTGGAATTGTAGGTGTCTGTGACGTTGTTTCTATTGTTTTGCTTTTCCATTATTCCTTATTTTCATTATTTTCAATTTCCATTACATTTACAAGAGGAGTCTGTGGTTATGTGTTCCCCCTCCCTCTGTATGTGTAAATAGTCAAACTGTAAGTATTTTACACATGGAGTTCATTATTCCTCTAATGTCATGTTACATTGTGGGTTGTTTGATGTGTACAGCAGCAATTTAGAGAGTTTAAACTGTACAGTTTGCATTTGGCTGGTCTATGTGCAAAGGTGGCCTAGGATTGAGTGAGATTTCCTACATAAATCACTTTCCCAGTCCACCCGTTAGGTGTGATGAATGTTACAATACCCTTATTGTAAGTGGTATTTTCTTTAAAAATGGTAAGTGCTATAAAAAATAGTTATAATGTATGATCTAATACATGCAAGGTTTTCATACAGTCAGCATTGCCCAGAGTTAGAAATGTTGCTTAAGCTGCTACTTAATGTTCTGGAAGGCAGCATTTAATGGATTGATACACAGCTTTTGACATGCTGTAGCTCACCATAATTGGTCATGTCATCAAGCATTAAATTAGTGATACATGGAGTTGTGCCCTGAAACGAGTGTCTTTAGCAAATCTGTCAGATATCAGGCTAGACTGTTCCTGACAGCTGTCCAGGGAAATGACAGTGAATTGAAACTCAGCTGCACAAAGTATTCCCTGATGTCCCTGCTTGGTATTTTTGGTAGAACTATATTTGCCTTTTTGTGCTGTTTTTCTTAGCTGTCTTTTTCTCTGCATCCATTTGCTTTTAAGGCATCGTATGACTATTCAGAAAAGAACTGTTGCAACATGATGCTTAAGAATATCAAAACGAGAAAGTCGAAAGGCATCAACTCAGTCAGTCAACTCAGTAACTTCTTAGACAACCTTTATAAAGGTTTTAAATGATTTCTGTCCAAACATGGACTCTGGCAAAACATGAGCGCTGTTGTTACTGGCCCTTAGTGTTGCGTTTGACACTGTAGACCACTGACAGTCATGCAATCAAACAAATAACTGTGATCTGTGGGGTACCTCAAGGCTTAATTCTTGGGCCCCTCCTATTCAATCTCTTCAACCTCCACATGCCCCAGTTAGGCCAAATCCCACAAGACAACAAAATTGCTTATCATAGTTATGCTGACAATACCCAGATTTATTTAACTTTCTTGCCAAGTGACTATGGTGCCAAAGCTCATTTGTTTCAGTGCTTAGAGAAAATAAATGGATGGATGTGCCAAAATTTCCTCTAGTTAAATAAAGAAAAGACAGAAGTTCACTTGAACTTCAGATTTCTAAAGACTAAAGACCAAGTCACAAACCTGGGCATACCAATGGATTCAGATCTTAATTTCAGCAGCCATATTAAAGCAATAACAACGTTTTCCTTCATCTCAAAAATATAACTAGATTATGAGATTTAATTTCTATGACCTATAGAAGTTAGTCCATGCTTTCTCCAGCAGTTGGACTACTGCAATTGACTACTTACTGGTGTGACAAAAAGATCATTAAATAGCTGCATCTTCAAAATGCAGGCACTAGAATTCTCACAAAGACAAAAAGAACTAAGCATATTACTTTAGCAGTAAGAATTACTTCACTGGTTTCCAGCTAGTTACAAAGTTTTCTATAAATCATTAGTAGCTTATGTACAAAACACATCTCTGATAATACAATGATAGAATGCAGACCTAGCAGGCCTCTCAGATCTCTAGGGACTGGTCAGCTAGCTGTCTATTGTTTCTTTCTTATGTTATATTGTTTTTAATTTTCTTATAATTATGTATAGCACTTTGAATTACCTTTGTGTATGAAACGTTATTTAAGTAAACTTGCCTTGCCTAAATGCTACCTATAAATGCTACCTTATTGCTTCAAAGAACATTTCAATGGGAATCCTTGAAGATCCTTGAAGTCCAAATGTTTTGACATTATAATAATTGAGCTAGCTTTCTATGCTCCAGGCTACATTTGCTTACTATGTGAAAATTATTTATAAAGTTGCTAACTTGAATTCTTTGAGGATGAGCAAACCTACCCTTGCAGAGTTTGAGAGTAACACAGTCACAGTGGAGTCAATCTGGACTCAGTGGGCAGTCAGTCAGTGGGCAGTGCAGCCACCTCCTCTCTGTCCTATGACTCCTCCAGAGCTGTCATACACTGTCATGTCATTTCGAGTCTAGCCACAATGTGAACTGACATCCAAGGAGAGGGTGAGCATGGTTTCTAAGAAGACGGACTGAAAAGGAAACTATAATGATGATTCATTTATTTGATTTTGTTCATTAAAAAGCAAATTCATGCAATAGTTATGAGAAATGTGGCATATACATATAGTCACAGGAAAATGGGCTTAACATCAGAGTTCCCTTTGTATTGTTTCTTAGGTTGTAGTTGTCAGAGGTCTTTTTAAGCGCATTGGGATTCATACTATATATATAATGAATGATTCTTTGTGCTATGTAGTATACAATCTACAAAAATCTGTATAGTATGCAAGCATGCAGTTGTGCACAAAGCAGACAAGCTTAATATAACAGATCTGCCTCTTTTTCAGATGTATGATGTATTGCTGCACTTTGCTATGAAAGGAAATGACAAACAGTGGTATCATACATGCGCATTACATTTTTTGCATATTATTTCTGATTCAATCATTCCTTTTGGCTTGAACTTTTTGATGGGCATTTCTGTCAGAATTCTTGTTCAAACTTGTCTGATCAGAGTGAAGCTTATCATGCTGTCAAACCCTGCTCCCTTCTCATTAGTTGGAGCCCCTGTCGTCAGTGTACGCTCTCAAATTAGATTGACATCCAAACTCCTCAAATATACAAAGCAATTTAGATGATATTCATTAGAGCGATGAAACAGGCTGATGGGACCCTGACAAAGAGCACTTCGCTCTTTTTCCCCACATAGTTATTTCATCATCCCTGGAACATTACTAGAACCAATGGATTAAGTTCTCAAGGCCATAAAAGGGAAAAAAAAGCCACACAATATACCTAGTAGAACTACAGAATTCAGAAATGCTTCAAACTGTAGATAATGAAGTATTCTGATTATGGGCAATACATTGTAGCTCATATTAATAGATTAGGTGAGATGCAATTTTCTTCAAGATGATAATTTTTAGCATTATTATTACATTTTGTAATTACAATTATAAGAAGCATTAACAGTTATAAGAAGAACAGAAGCAGAACTTTTGATAATATGGCATCAGAAATGTGAGAAAGATGAAAACAAGCTTAATTTTGCAACCAAAGTTTATTAAAATTTAACATTTTTTACAATTTACAATCCAGAAATGATGTCATGCTATGTTATTTATACATTCAGTAATTAAAAAATTAAAAAGAATAGTGAATCGTTTGCTTTGGGAATATTACTGAACTTAATTCTGCAGTGGAAATATAGGTGGAGTTATACACACTAGTATAATTATGTTCAGAAAGTTTACATTAATCACTAATAACAGATGGTAGGATGTTTTATTCTGTGCTGCAAAAATATGCAAATACTTCATACCACGATCAGCAAATTTTAATGGCCTTGTGGCCTCGCCCTGTGCAAATTTTCTAAAGATTACAAAATGTTGCACAGTAACAAATTAGACAAATAACATGGATAACACAACAGCTGACAAAAATATTCCCAAATAAATAAATAAAAATATGACTAGTCATTTGAAAATAATGAAAGTAGCCCTGTACATACTCTATTTGAATTCTAAAATCTCATCTCTACCAGAACAAAAAATTCAGGAAGTAGAGATTAATAAAAAGTAAAAACAGAATAAATATTATATCAAGAAAGACGTCTCCTTACATTTCATAAAATGTCTACTATGGTGCTAATTTCCTTAGACGCAGCACTGAAAGCCTCATTAATCATAAAGAAATCTTGTGGGACAGAAATCATACCAGATGATCATGAATTCTTTTTCGCATTATAACACACATTTTTGTGTTTTTTGTCAAACTACAATATATATTCTGTACAAATTACACAGATCACATTTCATGTTTTTCAGTTTTTAAAAGCTATTTTCCTTAAACGTAATGCATTCTGTCATGCTACTTGTGTTGTGAAATTTAGGACCCATATACAGTGCTTACACTGGATACAACTGTTCTGGACCTGTAGCAGGTGAGAGGGGAGACACAACATGTTTTTGGGATAAGTCCTTTGAATGCCTTGGAATCTTCTTGCTAATGTTCTCACAAGAAAACTTTGCCAAGTCCCGCATTCGAAAACCGAGATGTGACTCAAGGTGACAGAGGTATGTTGACCGAGACTGGATTTGTATGGCACATTCACTACAGAAGAAAACTGGGTGACCAGAGTCAACATTTTTCAGAAACTTGGTCCTACCTGTTCGTCTCAACTGATATTTCACATTGGCTAGCCAGTGGCTGATGGTTGTCATGGAAAGACCTGTAACGCGCGAGATGACCATCCTTTCTTGGGGGCTCAAGTCCGATATGACATACTTCCCATCAGCTGTCTCTCTAAGGCAGGATGTGAACTGGGCCTGCAGAATCAGCAAGTGTTGAGGATTCCAATGTGATTGCCTGCCCTTACGTTTGTGCACCATGGATGCATCGTCGCCCTCATCTGGGGTGTGTGCACCTTCAATCTCTGACCGCTCTACTTTATGGGAAGGTGTTGGGGGCTTTGAGACGTGGCTGTCTGACAAGTTCCGTAGCATGTCTGATATGTCTGAGAGGGCACTCTCATGCACTGGGCTGCCTGGAGTGCATAGAATATTTGATAAATCAGTTCTGGTCATACCAGGCAAACAAGAGTTTAGCACCTTTCCTGGGAGAGAAGCAGTCGCTAAACACTGCCTCTTTCTGCCTTTGGATAAATCTATTGGTTGGTCTTTGTCAATCTGATGAAAATCTGGATTTAATGGCTCCAGTTTTGAGCTTGGCATTGGAGGTGCAGCCACTGCAGCCCTCTCTGCCATGGTGTTGCTCATCTTGAGAAGCATACACATAGGGTCCTGGACTGGCTTCACAGGTTTGGCCGCTTTACCTAAATGAAGATTCATTACTGACTGAAGGGCATTCAAAGGACTAACAAAGGGTTGTTTTGGCTCTGGGTGACTGGTTATTACAGCATTATCATCACACAATGATAGAGAAGAGGCAGGGGGCTGTGCAAAACTGTCTGTACATTTTATTGGACTCTTCTCGTCTGTGTTATTTTCAGGGTCAGCAACCTTAGTATCTGTATCACTTAGTGTTTCACGACTCTCAACTATTGGGGAACTGGATGCTGATGATTTCCTGTCTGCACTTCTAGAAGGTGAGGTTATGACCTGCCTTTGTAAAAAAACTTGCTCATCAGTATTTTTCTTCTGTTCCTCAACAACCCTATCTGTTACCTTCTTCACCAGCTCCTCCATTGCATGCAGGTTCACTGTGGGTGAAGGAGCTCTCTGTGGGGGGTTTGGAGAGATGATTAGTTGACATTTATCTGACTGCTGAACTTCCATACCATGCACCAGGTGTTGTATGGAGGAAACACGCCCTGGGTTATAGAGAGAAGGCCTCATGTTATTTTGTAACTGATAAGCAGCATGAATGCTCTGGTATCCTCCCCAGCTTGGTGTACCTTTCTGTGCTTTGTTGATTGCAGATGTAACAGTATTCTCCAATGACTTGAGGATATCAAGGTTCACTTTTGGACTCTCTTTCAGATCTTCCTCAGTAAGGTAATCAAATTTTGAAGATACATTATATCTCTCACCTGCATCATTCTCAATAGCTGGTTCTCTGCAAATGTCTTCTTTCAGTAATATCTTCCCCTGAATTTCATCCTTAGCATTGTTTTGAACGGCAGAAGGGGAACATGGTGGCTCACGTGTGATTCCAGTTGGGGAAGATGCAGAAGGGTCTTGTGTCTCTGTTTGGATCTTCTCATCACTCGTTTTAACTTTAGTAGGCAAGAGTGGCTGTTCTGAAAGGCATTTGTCTGTTGTTTGAAGAGAGTTGCTGGCTCTGACAAAGTGACCCGTTAGCATAATGTGGGCAGTTAACTGGTGTAAAGATTCATAGGAACTCCTGCACTCCGTGCATCTCAAAATCTGAGATTTAAGCTGAAAGGCACTGCTCACCCCATTGTGGTCTGCAAGAACGTCTTTCTTATTAATATCAGAAACGTTGGGACAATTATCATTTACCTGAGTCCCTTTAGAAGATCTTTTTTGCTCTGCACCATTCAATTTAGTTAGGTCTACTTCCACTGGTACTCTTTTTTTAAAAGAAGAGATAACTTTACTGCCAATGGATGTTCCAGGTTCTTTCAGAGGCACTTTTTGGTAGTGTTTAGTCTTGATCATATGCACACTGAGGTCTTGCAAAGACTCAAAAGAGTGCCCACAGTACATACAACGGAGAACCTTCTGGGCATCCTCCTTCCCCTCCATTTCCAGTAAAGAACGTTTACGTGGCTTGGACCAAGTCTTCGCACCTTTTCCAGCCCTCTCATGGTTGTCATCTCGATAGTGTCCAGTGTCACTCATGTGAACTGTTAGATCAACCAGCGTGTCATAAGATGCACTACAGCTTTTACAATGGAACTTGCTTGCACCAGTAAAAATAGACCCATAAAGTTTAGCACTTTGGCGGTAGAGCTGGACAGTGCTAAAAAGACTTGGCTCCATTGCTGGATGAAGCTGTTTTTCAGAAACCTGTTGCAAGGTCTTTGCGATTGCAGACTGGTGCCAGTCAAAGCACTCGCCTCCAGGGCTGCTGTTGCTGCTGCTACTGCAGCTGCTAATGTCAGATGTTTTCTCTGCACATGGTTGAGAAGGATTCAGACTTAGTGAGGACCAATAGGAGTTAGAGAGAAAACTTTTATAAATGGCCTTTATCTGTTCCAAACTATCTGACCCACACACCAACCTCTCAGATCCCCCATTATGACTGTCTTTCACAGGTTCGTCCTTATTTTTGATGTAAGTGCTTTCAAAATCAGAAGTGGGTTTATTTGACTCAAGACTGGGTGATTCACTGTCCTTCTCTGAAAAATCAGCAGCAGAGGTGCAGCCTTCTTCTTTTGAATTTTGGAAGAGATACTCCTTTTTATAGTAATCATTGTTGTCCAGTGTTTCCCCCCAAGTTGTTGAGTGTTGTCTTTCCATGACTTCACTTTGCATGTCAGGCTCCTTAACATCCTCCGATTCATAGGCTAGGAAGAAAAAGAAAAAGATCAGGTTAGTCCACATAAGTACATTTTTAAAAGAATATTTTCATATTCACTAGAAAGGGCCTAGGAGAATAAAACAGATAAGATACAACACTCGGCGAGTTTCTGACCCAATAGTAGGTTTAAACTTGTGATCCTGTGAGAGCTGACCTGAAATAGCTTGCCACTGCAATGACTTCCAGACCTCTACAAATTCTATCATCATTGCTATATTGACAATGATGCAAAACCCAGAGAAACCACTGAGGAGCTGAAATGTTCCACTGAACTTCCAAGCACTTTTATTAACTGCTGTGTTTGGCCCTAGTGTCAACATTGACTTTGTCTTTTAATGCATCATCTAGGTACCAGTATTTCATGCTAAAATAATGTCTTACTAATCTGAAATATTTTGCTTTCAATGGTCTGTTTTGTCTCCAAAAGGAACTTACACAGTATTGTAATGTTAACCTCACAAATCATATTGTTTTTTTATCTAAAACACCCAGCAAATGACATATATTCCAGTTAACTGTTAAGACCTGCATGCTATGATTGAGGTACACAAAACACACTTAGAGGAAAAACAGAGAAACACCACTATTATATATGCGTTGCAGCAGGAATATAATGTTCATTATCTATTAAATATATGGCTGGAAATATCACGCAAACTGAAAAGTTGTACCACATGTCATGTGTATGTCAATATACAATATAAGGCCTAGCACTATTTTCAACATTTCATACTCCTAGTTTATTCACCTACTTTTAGCCAAGGTCAAACTCACAGAAACAAACTTCTTGGTTTTCGGAGAGTTAAAAGGAGTGGTCAGTGCATGATATTATTTGTGAAAAGCAGGAGGCTGCTACCACTTAGTCTTCATCTTCACATGTCCACATTCTGCAAAAATTCTGCACACCTGTGCACAGCTGAAGAGATGAGAAGGGAAAGGTAAAGTTGGACAGATACATTGAGAGGTTAGGAGGAAAGACACAGGATGGCAATGCATAAGCCGCCTGTCACTTCGAATCCCTCCTGATGACTATTCACCTTGGACAGGTGACGTGTGGGGAGAAAGGTGTCTGACTGAGCACCTCCATATGACAGATTCAAGGGGACACAGTCGCCCCTCATGCTGCCAGCTGCCCTCAACTCAGAAGCACCCATCCACCAACCGTCCCCTAGGACTGACGATCCCCCTTCTTGACAGCCTGTCCCCTACTAGTTCGACACTGTCACTCTGACTCTGTAAGTGGGACAAACGCTCCTTTGAAAGCCACACCAAACTTGCCTTTCTCCGTTCCCCTCTACTCATTCCTGTTTCTGTGCACAGTTGTGGTGAAGTTGCTCATGTCAGGTTGTTTTCTAATGGAAAGTGTTTTGTCAGATATGTTGGTCCTAATGCAAAGGGAATTCAAATGCATCAAAACACCCATACAGTCTCTCTCTTTCTTTCTCTGACTGTACACACAAGATCTAACAGGACAGGGAGTGTTAAGCACAAATAGCTCTCATTTCAAATGATAATACACAATCTTATGAGGCTGCGCTTCTCTCATTTAGCCTCTCACTAGATGTCAGCCAGGATGCCTGCAGGCCTGGGGCTTTAAAGGATAACTGGCAGGTGCAGGCCAGTCTTATTCCCCCTCTAGATTTAGACTGTCACTAGGTATCCATTACCTGCCAATCTCCTCTGATCATTCCTGACAGCCTTGATCAAAAAATGTCATTTGAACTGTCTGGTTTGGCATGGATTCCAAAGCAGCTTGTAAAGAGGGTGAACCAGGTGTAAATACAATGACATGATCATTTTCCTGCCCGCTCATATCCCAGACACAATTATAGTGACACATAGAGGGCTCTAAACAGCAAAACTGCTCTGTTTTCAAGCAAATGCACTTGATTCCTCTAACTTTCATTTTTAAACTGTTTCTAGAAAAATTCTTCTATGAAAAGGATAAAACAGCATCAGCCCAAGAGAGTAGGTGTACACTGAGATAAAACTCCTAATGGTAAAAATTTGAGAAATGCATTCCCAATACGGGAACCGCAGGCCAGTACACGTACATAGGCAATACATAAACATTTAGGAAATGTAGAAACTGGGAATACATGTCTTTTATTAGCATTAGGGAAAAATATAACATTATTTTCGGCTGAGTTACAAAGGCAAAAAAAATAATGAAATATAGACATTTCCGCTTCACCTAAACGTTCTGCTCTTCTGGAGTACAAATATAGACATCATCAAATATCAGTTTGAAATATTTAGTCAAATCTAAACATACGTAATTAAAAAGACACTACCAATGTGATTCAGTTTTCTTTGTGCATCTCCACTGAAATATGGAAACATTTATGCTGTAGTAAGATTTATGACTTCAGATAAGGCCTAAAGTCACAAGCAAAGATAAAAAACACTCCTCAAACTTCTGAAAAAAATGCTGAACAGAGCAAGGCTCTGTTACAACTTAAAAACAAGCTTAGCACAAATGCAACCTCAAATGAATTATAATCCATCTCAAAAGGCAACTACCATAACCAATTATTCTCTCAGGCTTGACTGACAACCAAGGTAATTTATTTAGTTAATAAAATGTGATGTGTGCTTCGAGCTCTAAAACACCAGAGGGAGAATTTACAGGCTTCCACCTCTTTTGATTTATGTAACTATTATGTCTAGCTCTATGTGCCAAGTCATTAGCCCCCACACCGCTTCTGAAAGCATCATACTTAAAACAACAACACATAAGAACTCAGTTATGCCTAATTACTATTTGCCTGATTAAAATGTCTATCTTCTGAAAATCCACAGAAAGAAGGATTAGTATAATAAAGAAGCAAAGAAAACATTTAACAGTTGTCATTAATCTCGCATTGGTGCTCAAACTTAAACTACTGACCAGCATATTTCTGTTTTTTACCACCCTTTTAGGAACACAGTCTGTAATACTGTGGAATACACATTTGTAGTGAGAGGTAAGGTTCTATAATAAAATGAAAAGATAAAAAAAATTCATCAGTATGATACTCTGAAGAGACCTTTTCCACTGCATAGCTAGAGCAATAACAACCGTAAAGCAATACCTTATGAATAAGGTCTTATGGCCATAGAGACCTATCATAGATCAGAGCCAAGATGAACTACTGGACACTTGATTCATTTCAGTCATTGCAAGAGCCACTTTACCCACGTCTATTTTCCAAAGGTGACACAATTTCACGTCCCTGGCTGACATGATAAGTTCAAAGGCTCAGAATGAGTGATATAGATTGGGAATGACTTGGAAAATTGTGTGTGCCTGAGGCTACACTAATAGAGGCATTTTTCCAAGTAAAATATCAAGTCAGTATGATGCTGATCATTCTTTCGTGTTATCACTGGATGACAGGCATGTCTGAGTTCCGCTCAGTGTACCTCCCTTGGGGTAAACATAAAAATTCTGATAATGGGACTATGCTTTTTACTGCTACTTATCAGAGTGCTCTTTGCTGCAACTCTTTAAGTAATATTATATTACAGTGAAAAAAGAATGTGCAAAGACACATTCTAGTGCCCTGGTCCTCTATTTCTGGCGAAATTCAATTATAACTGAAGCATAAATGTACTACACACCAATTTAAAAAGGAAAAGAGAAATTTCATTGATGGTGAAAATATCTTTTCTTTTCTTTGCTCCATCTTTCCAGTTCAGTGTCAAAGAACACTTTTGACCTGACCATTTACAGTAAATGCAAGAAGACAAAGTGCTCTGTCTACCGAAATTCTACCTGACCCAAAATGCACTTTCAAGGGACATATCTCTCTAATTATCACTCTGCATGCCTTTGATTCTGTTTTTCCCTTGACAGTGGTATGTCTGATGTGCCTCAGCTGCCAAGAGTGACTGGCAGCAATTCTGTAGAAGTCAAAGCCAGCAGCTGCTGAGATGATGGCCTAGCAACAAAGAGTTCTGCAAGATGGATTTCAATCATAATTCCCCTCTAGAGGGAAAAGGTGAGAGGTGGAGAGTGGAAAAATTAACATAAAAACAGAACAGCCTCTCTCTCTCCCTCTCTCAAGCAGAGCTTTGGCCCCAAGTTACACTCCCTTAATGAGCTCTTAGCAGCTGAGAATTGATTTCACAGCCTGACACACAGGCAGAGCATCATCAGTGAGTTAGTTTAGGGTAAAATACAGGGGTCCTGCAACAATCCTACAATGACCAGCCGCTAGACAGCTGGTGTCTAGTAACTAACGGAAAGAAAGCAAGGCCATCCATCATGGAGCACACATCTAAGGCTCTGTCTCTGCCTCTCTGATTCTCAGGTTACAGGCTTACATGGCCCGTCTAAATAATATTCACTGTGATGAATGGCCCTGCAAGCCTCCCACCTCTCATTAATCTCTTTCGTTAGAGGAGCATCCATCACAGAGCTGTGGGAGAGCACAGCAGGGTTCATACTGAGGCCAGCCAAGCTTGAGTGATGCATGTCACTCTGAGATAGGGCAGGAATGCGCTGGCATGAACACATGCATTATATGAGCATGTACTCACATACACACGCAGAGACACACACACTCAGAAATAAACTCAAGAGCAACTGCACACACTGTCATCTACAAAAGGATATTAGTGATAATGTGTGTCTGAGGCCACAAACTACATTATCAGAGAACCAACAGCGACAAAGCTATGTTGAACTACTTATCATTGCTATCATTAGATAAAAACTTGAGACAAGGGATGCACAGATATGGAAACTGTGGGTCGAAGCTGATATCTGGTATTTTTATGTACCAATACAGATACTTTAAGAACAATGTAGAAATTAGGATTATATTTACCTTTATAATCCTGATTTCATTTCAGAGAAACATAACATTTATTTCTGTAGGGTTATAAATGCAATATAATTCATAAATAAATAATATTATATAATAATAATAATAATATAAATAATAATAAATAAAATGCAGACAGTTTACTGCAGTAGCCTAGTGTTGCCTAAACATTCTGCTCTTCCAGAGTACTATAATACGTCATTAAATATTGGTTTAAAATCTCGGCTAAATCTAAACACCTGTCCAATGCCAATCATTTTTTAATATCTACCGATACCAATATGGTCACCAAGTATCACCTTGCATACATACTCCATTTTTTTATCTTTTTTGACCCAAAATTACCTGGAATAAAATCTCATAACATTAACGTAGAGCTGGGCAATATAGCAAAAATATATCACAATACCTCAAGACATTTTTAGGATACACAATATGCCACAATGTTTATTTGTTCTGATAAGACATGGTAAGTTGGAACACACAAAAAAGAGCCAGTAGTGCAACACATAAAATATTATCAACTATGAATACAGTGATTTGTATTCAGCATTTCACATCCTGCACTGCACTAAATCCAATTAAACATAACTAATTATTCTCTCTTTGTAACATGCAGTCAATCATAGAATCCACAATATGCTCAGTAAAGAGGATTGTGACATCATGGCATAATTCATTGTATTGCACAGTTCTACACTAACGTATGTTCAATTACATTAAATTACACATTTTTACATTTTCTGCTTGTCCTATAAAGTTACCATTTTGCAGATACAAGGCTTTGCTATGACAGCAATGATATGCATGTGCATGAATTACCTTAAATTAGAACACACTTGCTCTTTCATTCTCAACATGTAACACATCTCTTTCTACAATTAATCAAGATCACTTTTCCAGCAGAGCCTTAAATCTCTCAGCACCACAACAATCTCAAAACTCTCTTCTCATTTTTCACAACTGCTCTCACTTTCCTCAACACTCCTCTCTCCCTACAGACCCTACTCTGTGTCATCTGTACCGTCCTCTTTAACAACCTGCACACTGTCTTTCTTTCCCTCCCTTTATTCCAAAATGTCCTGTTGTGTCTCGTCAGCACAGTACTTCTTCCTTTCCGCCCTGTGTGTGTCTGGGAAAGCATGTGTGATAGATGACAAGTGTCAGAGTGTCAGAAGTACAGGGTGGAGACATGATTAACGACTCAGCTGAAAGGGTAATTGACGGTTTGGCATGGTGCTGATCTTCTCCACCAGGGTTTGGTTTCTGGACCCCTGAGGGATACACTGACTCACTTTCCTAAAATGGAGCACACACAAAAAAGCACCTCTCTGGAGAAAGGAGGTGCATTCCTCTTTTCCAAAAAGAAGATTGATGTCTCCATTGTCATTACAGTGAAGAGATGTCAATCTCAGTCTGCTGCCACAATGGTGAAACTTTTGTGCAACTGCATGACATTTAGAAGGCTCCATGTGAGCATTCAGACAATGAGTATTGCTTTGTCCCAAATTTGATTACACAGACATAGGGAATCTATTACAAGATCAATTCGTTCATGACAAGATCAATGAACACAATATAGCCTACTACTTACTTACACTGATGTTATTGTATTCTGATATATAGTGACTGTCTTAAAACTTTCTATCTCTGCTGATTTTTTAGGACAAAGAAAAATGTGGTTAATGTTAAAGTATGTTAATGTAAACATATGGTCCAAGTACTTCTGGACCATCTCAATTGGTCCACTGATCATGATGTACACACAATATAAAGAGCTGCTGGCAAATTTCAATTGGTGTAAAAAATGGTAAAAATTAAGATTTCAGCTTTATGACTGAGCATCTGGAGAATGAAGAGGGTAGATGGAGTCTTTTCACCTTTCCTCTGCCTGCTGTTAGCTCACGGTCAGAGCGCCAGAGTCCTCATAGCAGGGGTTAGGCCTGTGTGATGGAGCTCCAAAGGCATATGTCAATCACTGTGGGAGGCTGCATCATTATGGAAGTTCATTACAGATGCAGTATGAACATAGATCAAGTAAATCACTCAACACTGCAGGGACACGACGGTAGAACATCCATTATGTTATGGCAAAGAATTAAAATGAGAATCTCCTCCTGCGTCTTTCCAAAAAAGCAAAGATACACATATTTATACACTTATACTTTGGCTAGTTATGACCATATAGTGATCATGTCAATGTCTGTGTGCATATGCATGTTCATGTATATCTAAGCTTTAATCTAGCCTTTAAGATGGATTAGCTGAATTTTGATGTTAATGAATGGTACTCCAGCTTTGTGGGAGCCGATGGCCACGATTATAGGCATGTCTGGTTATGTTGACACGGTGTGTGAGTACAAAATGGTGAGCCTCTATAGCTTCACTCCCTTTCATCACCTACATCATCAAAAGCAGTTCTCTGCGTCACTCATGCATGACTGATGGCTGCCTGTCCGGATGACCTCCTCCACACCTCAGATCTGACAGACTCTGATCTCCCCCACAGAGACAGACAGCAAGGCCTGGAATCCAGCCCAAAGCTGGTGTGGGAGTTGGATTAGACTTTCTGAGAAGTGTTTTGGTTAGAGTGGCCTGTGAGAGCCTTGTGGTTATGTCTGATGAACTCATGTTAATCAGCGCTGACTGAAAAGGCACCACCCAAATCACAGTTGGAACAAAGTACAGTTTCAGAACAGATATGGCACATGTAAGAAATTGCAAATATGCATTAAATGATTGACATGTTTACAGAGATATAGTTTTAGGTATTTTTTCCGCCATAACATGTTTGAAGTGCCTCATTTCAGGTTGGAAACAAAGCTCATTTTTCACCTGAAGTGGTAAATTAGGTTAACAAAATAGTAAAGGCCAGCAATATCAGCTAATATCAATGTGATTACATCAAAGCACCAGAAACCTAATTTGACTTGGTGACAGGGCACACAGCTTGCCATCTCTAATCATTACAGCTGTCAGGAATCCATCAAGTTTACAGTTAATTAGGTGTGTACTAATGAAGCTGGCAAAATGACTTTTCTTTTTACAAGGCTCACCAAGCCAGAGAAAGTGAGAGAGAGCGAGTGAGAGAGAGAGAGAGAGAGAGAGAGAGAGAGAGAGAGAGCACAATGGCCATATGCAAGGAAGAGTGTAAACAACTATTTCCTTTTCAAGTAGTATTATATGAAAGGTTAAGAAATTTTATTCCACACAATGTAATTTTAAAAAATGACGGCTCTCCAAAACCCCATGTTAGATTTCTTCTCTGAGTAAACTAAGAAAAAAAAGTAGTCAATAATCAAAAGTCTCCACTTAAACTACACCATTGCTACTACTATTCCACATCCATGAAAATGCGTAGATCCCACTGAAGCATTCTGACGAAATAAAAGCCCGAGCAAGCGTATGGGAAAAGAATGAGAGCACTCACATGGCCTCGCTCTGATTGACCATTAAAGCCTTTGATGGATGAGGCTGTCACGGGGATAACAATTAAATCCAACATGAGACAAAGCTGTTCTGACAGGCCAGTCTAACGGAGCAAGCCATACCCCTCCATTAACCCCCCTCCCTACACATACTTACTCACTCATTCACACACACATGCACACACACACAAACCTACTGTAAAAGCATTTTCCTTTAAAATAACTCTCCACTTCTAAAATAACAATCCTGTTTCTGAACTTCAAATGTCCATGGCTAAGGCAGACAAATCAAGTTTTCTTCATAGGAGTACAATGCCTGTCACAGGTCTGTATTTGACTTTAACGAGGTCATTATGTCGGAATTATTCTGGAAAATGCTGTTTGAAGAGTAAGATTAAAACAGGCCATTCAGGCCGTGGGTCGTGTCTCTCAGACTGGAGGAGAGCTCTCAGGTGAGAGATTTTCAGACTCTGACCGCAGACTGAGGAAAATAGTATGGCTGGTGGGTGTTGTAAACAAACCCGGAGCCACGGACAGCAACTTAAACCCATCACAAATCACAAGAGCTGCCTAAATGTACGACTTTTAAGAAATAACTGAAACTTGTCGGGTAAAAATAACATACGAAGCTACTTTTTCCGAGGCAAAAAGGGAAGAAAGACCCTGAGGCAGATGTAGGCGACAGAGCTGAAACTCTCCTGTGTGAGCGGAGTGTGGAGATGACTTACCTGCCGCGCGCTTAGGCGCGTGCTGTTTCCTCCTGGCCATGCTAACTGCTAACGGCGAGGCGCTGGACCTCTTGGCGCCCTTCACACAACACGAAACGGTCCGCTCCTCTTGAACCGCGCCACTTATTTCAGCCACGACTTGCTGGGCAGTCGCTACATTGGCCGACACGTTGACGAGAGCAGGTGCGCCGCTTCCAGCGCAGACCGTCCTTTGTTCAGAGAGTCGGTCCGCTCAGACAGTAAAGCGAACAGCGGGGCAGTCAGTCACGCCTCAGGTTGAACACGTCACTCAAAAGTCTGCAGCCGAGATTTGCCTGAACGTGCGAGTGCGGGACACTCCCACCACACATTTCTGTTACAGCACATTTCCCTCACTTTAGACCAGGCAAAACCGGGCTAGTGAAAGGGAGGAGGATAAATAGCTAACGGGCTTCGGGGTTTAAACAGTGTAGCATCAGATAAACAGACTGACTGGTTTGTCAGATGAATGGGATACATTTGAAGTCGTTTCGCAAAAAAGATGCAGAGAATTAGAAATGGAGAAATCACATCTTTGGCAGATTATTTATCACTAAATAATCTAAATGACCGCCCCACCCTCGCCCTCCCAGTGGGCATGTTTGTAATTGTATTCCTTTTTAAATCAATTTTATAAGATTCTCTGCTGGTGACACCACATATAAATAAAAATAATGCGTGGCCACGACTTAGTAAGGCGTGGGAACGAGATAATTAAGTTGAGGCCACGACTTAGTAAGGCGTGAGAATGAGATGATTAAGCCTTGCCCACATCTTAATAAGGCATGATCTCGTTCCCACGCCTTACTAAGTCGTGACCACAATTAAATCATCTCATTCCCATGCCTTACTAAGTCATGGCCACACATTAGGATCTTGTTCCCATGCGGTACTATGGCATGTAAACACATTTTTGTTTATATAGGATGTCACCAGCAGGTCTCTGTACTTTTACAATGGCTAACTGAGCATAGTTCTCTTTGGGGGCAAGCTGAAATACAGTGGTCACAAAAAGTCTTTGGACACTTCAAGCACTTAACCATTTGTAAACTTTAATGAAGTTCTTTGGGTTGGTTCTGAATGTTTTAAAAGAAAAGATATCTGTTTAAGAGAAAACACTTTTGTCACAACATCAAACTGATGATGTTATCTTCAAGAAGAATTCCAACCAGACTGCATTAAAAGGGTACTGTAAGGCATTTTGGACACAAATCTGCTGCAGACTTCAAAAAACTGCTCAAATTACAATGATCTGACCCTCACCAGATGCCTTTTAAAAGAATACTTTGACAAACAAGTAATTGACTGTCTTGGAATGGTCTGTTTAAAAGACATATGACTTGCTTGGCACAAATACTTTCTGGGGCCACTGTACTTGTCATCCTGTCACAGTCATCAAAGTTTTTCAGGATCTGACATTGAGATTTCTGAAATGTTTCCAGTTCTTTGAGTCTAACCAGATGAATAAAAATGCTAAAAATTCAGTCAATTATACATTTTCAGCAGCCTCCTTCAACTTTAATTTGCCATTTACATTTTTTTCTGTTTGTATAAGCCCTGTAAAGTGCTTCATCAGCAGAGTGGGTGCTTTGGCCAAGGCAGAGATTGCATGCTCTTTGTTTTGCTATTCATTCACATCATTCATCATGCTGCTGCCACAGAGCTGTATGAGAGCGTCTTTGATTTTTACGTTTACTGCAACATACATCACACCCAAATCTAAACCAATATCTGTTATTGACATCAGAAAGAAGCTGGAAGCGGCATGATAACAAAGGCCAAGAGCAATACTTTTAATTACAATGTCCTTTTAATAGAATCCATAAAATGATATTGAATTTGTAAAGAATGAAGAAATGTTTAATGTTGTGTAATTCCAGCCCAACCCAGACATACACATAGACAAAACATCCCTGATCTTCAATACATACTTACAGTATGTGTATGTCTCTTTCTCACACATTATGCATATGCACAAAGAGAACATGACCATTGTCTTCTATGTTTATTGTAAGAAAGACTGAGAGAGTGGAAATCAATCTTAGCCACACCATAATCAATAACTGACCAAGAGAGACACAAAATAACCAGACAGGAAAAGTAGAGATTTATGTCTTGCCTGCACATCTCCTTATGGAGGTCATTTTTCATCCTGCTGTGTGAAAACTGAGTTGTTTACCGTTCTGTTGAAATTCAAGCAGAAAACTTGGTAATGTATAAAACGCAATGCATTGGAAGGGTGATGGAAACACTGAAATCAGATTTGTATTTCAATTCTAACCCATTACATGTAGTAATATTTACTATAATAAAAAAACTTGACCACTTGCCCAATTTCTATGTGCTTTAACCTTCAGCATTATTCAGCTTTGTGCTTTTTTAATGCAGTATTGATGTAAATGCTAAAGAGTGAACTGTAATAGTATCATTACAGGGACCTTCTGGCACTCCCCCACCAAAGCGCATGCCTGTCACCCAGCATCTGAAATCAGAAGGGACACCTGCCAGCAGGACGCCCACCCTACCCAGAGTTCACAGAGGGGTGTGTTTGAGCCACATGTCCATCAGTGGCGTTGTGAAGGCTCCATTTGGTCTCCTCCTGCCCTTGCTCGGCCTGTGTTTTGAGAGGTCCCGTTTTCTGGTTTGATCCATGACGAGCAGATGACCTTTTCTCCACGTCAGGTGTCGGCCTCTGTAACATCATGCTCTTGCTGCGCGTCAAAGCAACATGCCTCACCTTCACTGACTTGGATTAGGACTCTCACAAACAATCACAAATCTGTTAAGAGGAGATGTAAAGAGAAGCTACAGTGGGTAGACTGTTAACAACAATGAAGAACACAGGTTCTAAGAAGCAGGGAAACGTTATTATACTTGTTTTGTAAGGATTGATTATGCAGTTTCACCAACAAGAGCTTTGCAGAGTGTGAAAACTGTCATACTGGCCAAGATTGATAATGCTGAGCAATGTACAATGACCCCACAATTGACCAGAAAGGGAAATTATAGACTCCTTACCCTCATTCTTCAGAATATATTGACCTCTTCTGTTTATATACATGAGCATAGGAGTTTCTGATAGCTTCTATTCACCCTTATGTTGCTTCTATTCATGCTTACATTGTCCAACTGTCATACCGTACAGGAATATTGTCACTGTAAAGAAAGTGTAGGTCTTTTGTAGGTTAATCCCTTAAAAGGCCAGGCCCGCTGGTGGGTATAAACTTGTGTTACACATTTTCATAACCTAAAAATAAAATAAACTGTAGTTACTAAATAATATTAACATTATCTGTTAATGTTAATTATCAATATCAACATCTATTAAGCCAGGAATGTTGAGAGGTTAATATAAGGAGATTTTATTGAAAGTAATCTTGAGCCATTCCTATTGGTCTATTTGTCATTAAATATTTGCACAATGTAAACGACAGCTGGCATTTTCAAATGGTGTTATGATGGTGTTACATGTTGATATAACTGCAACATGGCATAAACATGCTTCTAATAATGAGGGCTTTCTCATAATTTTACCATCTATATGTACGTCTTAAGATCTTTATGAACATAATGAAGAGAATAATCAGAAAAAACACACGCCATATAGAGTGGTTTGATGTGAAATGGTGTAGAGAAACTTACCAATATTTTCTTTGCAGTTTTGGTGACATGAAGCAGAGGTTTTAATGTCCACAATGCAAAAATAGCCATTTCATTTTCTATCCAAAATGATCAGTGAATGTGTCAAAATGTGTTTGCTGAGATGTAATGTTACAATGATAAGTAGAACATCTGAACTGTATATGCCTGTATAACGATTTCTTAGGCATCTGGCAACTTATTCATTTGCATTAGAAGTAATTAATTTCTGTGAATAAGCTTTAAGAGGCAGTTAACACTTTGAACATCTGGTTCCTATCAACACCACTGTGAACTCAGTAAGTTTCTCTCGAATGTCACATTTCACATCAAATCACTTTGAGTGACACTGTTTATGTCTTAACAGTTGAATTAGATTAACATTTTGCAAAATCAGTACACACACACACACATTTTCTAAGCTGCTTATCCTTCTGGGTTGCGGGGGGGTGCTGGAACCTATCCCAGTGGTCATTGGGTGGAGGGCAGGTAAAAAAATCAGTACAATTCCCCATTAACATTAAGCAAATAAGATACTTCAGTGAATATAGTTAGTGGAAAGACTCCACAAGACCTCATTCATGAGCACACAAGTTTTTTTTTTCGTTCTGTGCGATGGCAGCAAAGGCTTGGTCATTGACAGCTCTGCATAGATAATTAAATCTCGGTCTTAAAATATAGATGTGCAGATGGGGCGTACAGTAAAAATGCAAATCCGTCACCTTTAACCAGTGCTGGTTTGACAGTGATGCGAGATCCTGCTCAGTTAGGCCCGATGGTGGGTTGAGCTCCGTCAGGTGAGGGGCTGACGGGGCCGTATGGTGGAGCTCCTGCCTGTGACAGGCTGTCATTGGGAGATGTCTGCCATGTGGCTGTCTCTCAGCCTGTCTGTGGGCTGAAGGATGACCCCTCCTGCTCACTGGGGCTTCACCGGGCCTGCCATCACTGTCTCTCAGCTCTCGCCTTGACAGCAGACATGACGCCCAAGACACATCAGCCTCGTCTACAGGTAGCTCTGTCCTGCGTGCTTAGTGATGGCTCATGGCAAGGAGAGGGAAGGAGGAAAAGCGCGCATGCGTGTGTGTATGTGACTATGTCCCTCTTTCCCTAAAGGTGTGTGAGCGTAAGAGGAAGATGGAAGATTTTGTTTTGAAAGGTCTTTTGATGTGATGTGACATGCACATTCAAAACCATAATCTAAAACTTCAGCTTTCTCTGGTTTGTTGTATGTCTCCATCGTTTAGACTCTATGACAGGGTTCGAGGCACAAGGTCATGTGTTTGTTTTTGTAATAGTGAAAGGTGAACGTAATGAAATTTGGAGGCTGTTTTCACAGCTATTCCATCATCTATGACATAAATGCATTTCTGCAATTAACTGTCCTTCCTGATGGAGTAATTTAGTTTGATTTGTGACTGTTTTGGAGGGCAAAACATCTATCAATTTCTCCCTAGCAAACATACAGTAGATATCACTAACAATTTTTCCTAACACATAATTTTGCAAAACCATGAAATTAAGAGGGTGCAGTGACAGATGAGATGTGAGGACATCGCT